GCCTTCTCTGTTGGAGCCCCCTCCCTATGGAACGAACTACCCCCAGAGATCCGGGTCATTCCGGATCTCCCCTCCTTCCGCCGCGCCCTCAAGACATGGCTATTCCAGCTAGCGGGGCTGGCCTGAGGGGTATTTTAGATTGGATTTTAATTTGATTTTATATTGGGTGTTAACAAAATTTTAAATGAAACGGCAAAATCAATATTTCTTTTAATTATATTTTAAAATGGTGTTTGTAGGGTCTTTATCTGTTTTCAGCTTGCTGTAAGCCGCCCTGGGTCCGCCAGGAGAAGGGCGGGGTATAAATCTAATAAAATCACAAAAAAAATCACAAAATCACCGTGGGGGAAATCGCCACTGGAGTCCACCCGTGAGCCAACAAAACAGCCATTAACCTCTAAAAGAACCACTGTGTGCTTCAAATGTGGCAAGAAAGGACACCGCGCCGCCGAGTGCCGTTCTCGCACTCCGACTGGAAAACCAGACCCAACCCCAGCAGGGAAGTACGGAAAACCGCCAGCGAAGCCGAAGGAGATGGCCATGAAAGGCACGGATACCGCTGAGTTCCCCGCCTCAGCCCAGCGAGGAAAGGGAACTCTGGCCTACACAGTGGGAGCATCCAACTCATCCGATGACAACTCTGAGGATGAACCCCTGGTAAGTGGACCCATTGTGTCCCTCACCAGAACAGTGACTTTACTAGCCCCAACCATCCCCGAAGCTGTAGAAGTTAGGGCATTAATTGATTCTGGGTACACCTGCTGCCTTATCAGCCCGACCCTAGTGGGGAATTTAGGAATACCAGTGAGGAGGCTGAAGAAACCGATTTCATTCAGTCAATTAGATGCCTACCACCCTAGCCATGCTACCGCTTCAACTCACCCTAGGGGACCACATAGAGACTATAACGTTTGTGGTAACCCCGGACATGGAGTGTCCCATAATTTTAGGCATGGAGTGGCTAGCCAAATGGAACCCACGGGTGGACTGGAGAATGGCGGAACTTAGGTTCCCAAAAGGGGAATCAACCAAGGCGACAGCCCAACCCCAAACAGAGGGACCCTCGACCGAGAAAGCTGCAATAGGGGGTGAAAAGGAAATACCTGAAATACCAGAGGAGTATAGAGACCTAGCTGAAGTATTCAGTAAAGAGATGAATTGCCACCGCATTGGCCCACAGACTGTGCAATAGAAATCAGATGAGGGGCAAAGCTCCCCAAGCCTAGACTATACTCCATGAGCCCACAGGAGTTGGAAGAAATGCAGAAATTCATAGACAAAAACTTAGAAAGGGGATTCATTCAACCAGCAAAGCCAAAGACGGCCGCCCCTGTGTTATTCTGCATGGACTATAGGGCTTTGAATGCTATAAGCGAAAGCAATCTATACCCTCTACCCCTTATGAAGGACATGCTATCTCACCTTTCGAAGGGGAAGATTTTCACCAAGCTCGATCTGAGGGAAACATACTATCGAATTAGAATCAAGGAAGGAGACGAGTGGAAAACTGCGTTTAATTGTCCCCTAGGGTGCTATCAGTTCCAAGTTCTACCTTTTGGGCTACAGGGGGCCCCTGCTATATTTATGCAGCTGATAAATGATGTACTAAGGGAGCACCTATACAAGGGTGTGCTCATTTACCTGGATGACATCCTTATATTCACAGAAACCATGGACAAACATGTCAAACTGGTTAGGGTGGTCCTAAACAAACTATGAGCAGCCCACCTCTATGCTAAACTTTCTAAGTGTGAATTTCATAATGATAAAATAGACTATCTGGGATACTGCATATCCCCAGAGGGCATAGAAATGGACCCCGAGAAGGTCTGGGCAGTACTAGAATGGGCACCACCTCGCACGAGGAAGCAATTGCAGAGCTTCCTGAGATTCGCTAACTTCTATTGGCAATTTATCCCCTCTTTTGCCCTTACCAATCACAAACTTGCTAAATAGCAGAGGGGAGAGGAAACCCAAGTGGATCCAGCTGCTGAAATGGACAATAGAATGCCAAGACACATTCGAGAGACTGAAAAAACTGTTTTCCATAGAACCCGTTCTAAGGCACCCCGATACCAACAAGCCTTTTGTAATTGAGGCAGACGCCAGTGACGTAGCAGTGGGGGCTGTATTGTTACAAGATAATGATGAAGGGGTATTACAGCCCTGCACATATACATCGAGAAAGCTCACTGAAACTGAACAGAGGTGGACGGTCTGAGAAAAAGAGGCATACGCAGTGTGATGGGCTCTTCTCACATGGCGGCACTTTTTGGAGGGGAACAAAATTCCTTTCCAAGTGTGGACCGATCACAAGAACCTGGACGCTCTAAAAATGCCCAGGAACTAACCCCTAAGCAAGCACAACATTTCCATCGGTTCAACTTCACATTGAAACATCTGCTGGGGGGGGAACCTCCTGGCAGATGCCTTATCCAGAATGCCACAATATAATAGCACTCGGGCTAGTGTAACAAAACCGCTCATGCCAGAGACGCAACTAGCAGTGCAAATAACTACCTGAGCACAAGCCAAACTACAGAAACCGCTAACGAATTGAATTCAGAAAAATGTTAGAAACCGATGAATGGTTCCTAAGTCACAAGAACCTGTGCAGATGGCCTACCCTGGGTGGGAGAAAAACTATATATACCCAAAAGTCAGAGACTGGCATTCATGCAATTTTGCCACAATTCAAAATCAGCAGGCCACTTTGGGTTTGTGAAAACATTACACCTAGTTAAAAGACAATTTTGGTGGCCATCAATAAAAAAGGACACTGAAAGCTATGTAGCCAGCTGCCCAACTTGTGCAGCAGCAAAACAACTACAAGGAAAATCATCTGGGCTGCTACAGCCAGTAGCAACCCCCTCGGCACCTTGGAAGGAGATCTCGATGGACCTCATAGTGGAGCTACCAGAGAGCAATGGAAATACATTCATCTGGGTCATGACGGACCTGTTTTCCAAACAAGTACATTTCATCCCTTGTTCAAAAATCCTTACAGCAAAAATACTAGCAAAACTCTTTGTAAGCACATCTACCGCTTACATGGAGCTCCACAACGCAGCATATCAGATAGAGGAGTGCAATTCACATCGGAGTTCTGGAAAGAGATCCTGACCCTGTTAGGGACCACTCAGGGACTGTCATCTAGTCATCATCCACAAACAAATGGTGGGACTGAACGGTTGAACTCAGTACTGGAACAATATCTTAGATGTTTTATTAATTACAAATTGGACTGACCTACTCCCATTTGCTGAGGTCGCTTACAACAATGCTGTTCATTCCAGCATGGGCTACAGTCCATTCCAAGTAGCCACTGGGCAGAGCTTTAACCCGATGCCAGAACTTTCCCCTGCAGAACCTGCTATCCCTTCACTAAAGGAATGGATTGCACAATTAAAGAACACCTGGCCAGTAGTTAGGAAAGCATTGGATGAGGCTAGACAAGCATATAAGACTCAGGCACACAAAAAGAGGGTTGAGTCAAAACCCTTCACCATAGGGGAGATAGTCTACCAATCCACTAAGTATCTAAAATCCCTACAACATCTAAAAAGCTCAGACCCAAATATGTAGGACCATTCCCCATTGTTAGAATTATAAACTCAGTAACAGTGGAGTTAGAGCTCCTAAAATCCCTCAGGCAAATCCACCCAATTTTCCACTGCAGCCTTTTAAAGCGCGAGCAACAGTCACCATTAAGGCCAGCTGTCACTCCACCCCCTCCTCCTATTATGGTTCAAGGGGAACAAAATTTTGAAATCAAAGAAATTCTGGACTCCAGGAAATACCATGGCTCCACTCAATATCTAGTGGCATGGAAACACCTCCCATCTTTCCCAAAATGAGTGGGTCTACAAATGCCATATTAAAGCTCCTAAATTGCTAAGAATATTCCATACCGAATACCCAAACAAACCTGATTAACCTATGCATATATGTCTCTCTATGTCTCCACAGGTGGATCTTTCTTTTTTTTAAGGGAGGCAGGATGCCAGAACCCATATTCTAAGGGGACCCCTTTCTTGCTTTAGACTCAAACTCTGTTCTCTCTATACTTCTGGGTTCTGCCATGCTCCTGGAGGGGAGGGGGGAAAGCACTGCAGACAGTCTAAACTTATTAACATTTGCTAATAACAATGGTATTACTTTCTCTTTGGTTTTTCTTATTTCAGCGCAAGAAATATAGGTTTGCCAAGGCAAAGGACTGGTTTAAAAAGCAGCAAACATTGTCATTGGGAACAAATATTGAAAAGAAAGGTGTAGACTAGGAACTTGGATTGCTCATGATTGACTACTTGATGGGCCTTTTTCTGTTATATCATTAAGATACTATTTTTCAATATGGAGTTTATTGGTAGTATCTCCTGTGTTATTTTCCTAACAGCCTTATAAAGGACATCATTACAATTCCCATTTTGGCAGTAATATGAAAATTGCTCATAAGCAGTAAATAATTGAGTAGCAATTTGAATCCAAATGTTATATTCTGATCAGTGACTTTCTATGAACATGTCAAGAGTGTAAGGGAAAAGATGGCTCCTGAACTACAGGCTGCTTAGTTCTACCATAATTAATTAATTTTAAAGGAATACAAGTTTACAAGGTAAAATAAAAAGCTTATTACAGAATTTAAAGCTCTTAGTGCATATGGAAGTTTAACATCCAAGATTTTTCCTTTTTTTTTAGAGACATCATCCTCACAGACTGAGATCATTGCCTATTTTCTTTTGGCTTACTTGTCTAAACCAGAGGTATCCATAGATGATATTAAGTATGCTTCCAAGATAGTACAAATCCTTGTCAAACTACAAAATCCCTATGGAGGCTTTTACTCCACACAGGTAACAAGTCAAATTGGCATGCTTATTTATTTTTTGATAACAAAATTGATCATGTTTTTAAATCTCATATTTTGAGAGTTGCACTTTTGAGAGTTTGGAAAAAGTATTCTTATAAGGTAAATTTAAAAATCCCAATGTGGGCTATTCCGGAACATGCAATACAAGGAATTATAAGAGGTGTAAAATTAGAAGGAATTGTTTATAAAGATCTACTCATGTTAAGAGGACAGGACTGGCAAATTAAATCATTG